CCGGGGCACAACCATGGGAGGCGAGACCCCCGCACCGGTGCAGCTGAGCTCGAGGGCTTGCAGAAGACTGGGCAGTCTCCTCTGAAACGGAGGCACCCCAAGAACCCCCTCCCTCCCCAAGGAAGAGAACTGGCGAAGCCACGGATTTTCATGGCGCAGGCCGCAGAGCCGCGAACGAAGACCGAAGGTTGCTTCCCGGCTCTCCCAGTCTCTAACTGTCTAGGTCCGGACCATGAGAGATGGTGTTGAGAATTCGACTGTTTCCTGGCGCGCTGTGGAAGCCATCTCCAAATTAGCGATCACATATGGAAACTGGAGACCAGAATTTTAGGAAAAGAGATTAAGGCATCTCACTTGGGGGGGTGGGGGGTGTCTTTTTATTTATTTTCTTTTTTTAAAAAAAAATTGCTGCAACTGGAACAGTTTTTTGATCTCAAAAGGCAAGCCTCTCTTCCCGTGTGATCTTTATAATTTACACACTTTTCCGTGAGCTTTCTTATCTCCCTTTTTTTATATCTCTCCATATTCTCTATTCACACATATATCCATTATATTAGTAGTGGAATTACCATTCGCACCCTCACACACACGCTCCTGAGAACCAGAAGTCGGTTGGGTGTTTATATAATGAAGAATTATGGGGCTGTTTGATCGAGGTGTTCAAATGCTTTTAACCACCGTTGGTGCTTTCGCTGCCTTCAGCTTGATGACCATCGCTGTGGGAACCGACTATTGGCTGTACTCCAGAGGGGTTTGCAAGACCAAAAGTGTCAGTGAGAATGAAACCAGCAAAAAGAACGAGGAAGTTATGACCCATTCCGGATTATGGAGAACCTGCTGCCTCGAAGGTATTTGATTTCTTACCTCCTCCCCCTTTCCGCGCCGTCCCTCCCCTCCGCACTCCCCCTCCCCACCCGACTCCAAATAAGTCCCCTCCACGTTCCACCATTTTCCCACTTCACTCCCTCCGCCGCTGCCGCTGCAGATCAAGGTTGGCTGGGTTAGTTTCAGAGGAAAGAAAATCAATAAGCAAAACCCACACTCTCTACTCTTTGGCTTCCACCCCATCCTCCCAAACCTCCTCGTTGGAATGATCTATGCTACGGTGAAAACAAGAGATTGTCTGTAGACTCAGATGTGCTCCGGCTGCTTTGGAGTCATTAAGGTTTGCCTTTGGGTCTAGCTTTGCCACCTCTGAGGAGGGGAAACAATTCCTTCCCTGCGTGCCACTCGGCTTTTTGTGATTAAGGATTTGGAAAAGGTTCTTCCTCTTCCCCTCACTCCTCAAAAGTTACAAACCCATCACCAACTGCGAAATCTCCTTTTTTTTTTTTTTGAAAAGAAATTAGTTGTTTCTAAGAATCCTTATTTGGTAGGTTCTAATTATTCCAGGAGCTCAAGCCGAGTTCAAGAGCATTTCGTAATGTCTATGAGTCCCACGTATCATTCGAGGTGGCTGGCTGTGTGTGTGTTTAACATTTACGAAGTCTATAAATGCATGCGTCTCTCACAGGAAACAAACCCAAGTTCTAATAAACAGTGGTCACTTGCGGGTTAGGCTGAGCGCCGATTTGCTTCCACACAGAGTGACATGTCTGTCATCCGAAAGCAAGTCGAGTCAGCACTGTGCAGGCAGGAGGCGAGGGCATGGAGAGGTTGAGAGGGAATGGGAAAGCGTGGGGTGGGGGGTGCCAGCTGTTGGCCTTGATCTTGCAGAGTCATTGGGGCATGTGTGCTGCATGTGCCACGGACCAAGGGGCTTCCATGGTGTAAAGGCTGGGAGACTAGGGCATGAGGGAGGAGGCATGTGCTTCTGGGACACATTAATAAACACAAGAGGAGGGAGGGAAACTCTGCAGGTCATACAAGCTGAATTTAGCCACAGACTTTAATATGAAGGAGTGCATTTGCATAGCTATATCTGTCTGCGTGCACAAGCCACCTATAGGAAGACAGGCAGAGAGACACATATGCCCCTGTGTGGAAGGAGGCTCGCGTGTGTGTTCCACTGATGTGAATCAAGACTGGAGGCCCTTGGAGGCAGCGTCGGGAAGTGAGCACTGCAGGATTGTTTGTTAAGCTCAACGTGGGATGGTGCTGCAGGGAGTTGGGGCCAGCAAATGGGGGAGAGGGTAAAACTAACGCGGTCCTGGGGATCTAACCCATACTGAGCCAAACACCAGTCTGGGAATGAGCTCACATCACATGCCCCCTCCCAGTGTTCTTGGTGCAAACGGTTGAGTGATGGCTGAACATGTTTTGAATAGCTAAGTGACTTCATTGAGCGATGGTCTGTTTGACGCATACTGCATTTGGTACCCTTTCTCAGTCCAAGCCCTGCCTTTAACATTCTGCAGAGACGCTCTCTGCCGAACGCTCCATGCTCGTCCCCAGCCAGAGAGTCAATATCAGGAAATTAATAGGGACCGTTTTACACACACGCATTCCGCCTCTCTTAAAAAATGAAAAGCCTTTCATAGCGCCAGTCATTTGCAGTGGAAAGGCAGCTTCCATGTAATTAAACATTTATGGCAAGCTTTGATGCCGAAAGAGAAAGAAAGCGAAGTGAATGAGGACTGCTTTGGGGACATGATCCTGGCAGTTATTTGCATTCCTTGGATTCTGGTTAGAGGAATAAGAGATCTGCAGCCAAGAAAAATTAGAGAACAATCTGTGTCTTTATTTTAGGGCAAATGTAATCAGATATTGGTGACTTGGTATAAATATACTTTTTTAATCAGGGGTTTATTGACGGATCCTTAATACTATGATCTGTTAAACATCTTATAATTCGCAGTAAACATGCAGACTTGCGGTGGCTTTGGGTCACTTGTGCATCAGAAGGCTTAAGTATTTTCATTAGAAGCCCATCTGTTCGGTGTCCGCTGCTGTGCACCCCTCTTTAGCTTTCTCTCCCAACTGCACTCTCTTCCTCCTCAATCGACTATAAAGGATTAGAATTGCAACACTCCCCTAGAGTTGTGTGATGTGCACAGGAACTGTGGGTTTGGCACTGTCCCCAGCGGCCTCCCCGGGTGCCCAGTCCAGGCACTTGCCTCCAGGCGGTGATGGGAGGGCTGGGTTAATAGTCCCTTCTCCCACGTGGAGTCAAGGCACACGTCTTTGGAAGAGCTAGGGAGTTTCGGGGCCTTGTCTGGCCTGGCTTTCTCTTTTCTGGAGTTTTTTTTCCTAGGACTTCACAGGCCTGGAACTACCTCAGGAAGCCAGGGCTTGGCCACTCAGGAAGCGGATAGAGGTGCTGATTTTCAGACTGCATGTTCTTTCAAAAACGGGGGTTCTCAGGATCCTGTGAATTGGCGTGTACGGCTTGTATGGTATTGACAAGTTTGTGCCTCTGAGTGGTCAGAACTGAGTCGACTTCAATGAGGAGTGGGCCGTCAGCACTTCTGCTTCCTCAAATCAGGGCCCAGGGTGGGAAAGGAGACTCTCCAAAAAGATTTCCCCATCCTGTCTTGAACTGTGCTGTGTGCCCACACCGGAGACCTGGTGGACAGGTTTTCAGTTCCTCCCTGAGAGGCTGCCGATTACCACGGCTGCAAAGTGGGCCTGGCCTCCGCTCGTCTCTTTCGCTCTCTACTTTCCAGTAGGAGTTTTGTATGTGGTCTCTTGGGCTGGTTATTTTCTTTTACCTCTTCATGAAAAGAATTGGGAAACAGTTCCTTGCCTCTGTGGCTGTTTTTGAAATTGATGAGTCTGCGGAGGGATGAGAAGGCACAGGGCCACCTGTTAGGGCACACTCTGGGGAAGGAGAGAGATCAAGGAAACACCTCAGGCCTTATTTTCCCCCTCAGCAGATAACTGAGAACTCTCTCTGTGTGAACTTGAACTCTCTGGCAGGTGGGTGTCCTTACTGGGATTCAAGCCTGTGGTGGGAAAGAGAATGGGCTATGTGTGATATTGGCATATACAGAGTGCTGGGTGCAAGCCTTCAAATTGTTCAGAAAGCTGTCTTAGGAGTCCTGGAGTGGGGAACTGAACTGACTCTTTCAGGGGGAAAAAACTTAGTCAAATCTGCAAAAGGTCATAAGAATGGTTTACTCCAAGTACAGCATCTCTGGACCCCAGTGGTTTACCTCTTGGAGAATTAGCCTCTGCTGTAACCCCAGAGGAAGCATCATCTCCAGGGACAAGAGACTCACCATGTTGGTCCTCTCTAGCTCCTGCCTCCCTTTTGTCCCCACTCCAATCTCCCCCAGAGGACTTCCAACCCTGCAGAGGAGGAGCCAGGAGCTGGTGCAGAAACCACCCTCACCCCAGTCCCTCTTTTCTTGCCCCTTACCTCACTGTAAGGAACAACAAAATTATTGCCCTCTGTCCAAATTGGTGCCTTCCCCCGCTGAACCTCCCAGCTCCTGTAGCATCAGTAGTGCCCCCATCTGCTTGTGCATGGCACCTCTGCTGTCTCTTTAGCACCTTCACTCTCTTGGAATGACTAGCACCTCCACTGTCCCTAACTGTCTTTTCTAAGTTCAGAACTGCATAGTCCTCGGCTGGCCTTAAAGGTGGCAAAATGTTCCAGGCCTCTCAGCATGCACTCTTGTTTCTACAGAGGGAAAGAATAGAGCTTTTGGTC